CATAATTTGATTAAGAGTCAATAAAGGAGAGGGTTAGAGTCAATATAATTGAGCCTGGATATCTGAACCTAAGCTCTTACTTTTAACTACTACTTATAAGTTTCGTTTAGGTATTTCCTTTGGAGTTCAAATTTTTTCTCCTCAATTTTTAGTCAGTTTTTCTCTCAAAGCTGAATTTTATCTGAAAAAAAAATCCCAAAGTTCACTTAGAATTTTTAGAGCAGAACAGAGTACATGTTTCACACTTTTATAGAATATGTTCAAACTTTGGTTGCAGTTGAAGAACTTTAAAATGGCTTCATTTAAAAACCTAGTAAAGGTTTTTAAAGTAAAGGAGAAACAGCCAAATGAAATGCATATTGAAGACTATTTGTTTTAAGATAGTTCCAAATCAAATGAGCAATACAGGAACTCGAATTACCGGTAAAGGACTGGTCTACCTCTGAGAATAATAAGAGCTTAGAAGTAGAGGACATTCAATTCCTTCTCGAAAGAGCAAGATTTTCATTCTACTTCCATGCTCTTGGCCATCCTTAATACCTATCTTGTTTTCTTCTGAGTTTGTCTCTAATTTCTGGAAGACACTGTGAAGGAGGGGAAAGAAAGCTGGTCAAGAAGGACAGGGGATTAAGCCCTGTGTGACCTTAGCCATGGGTCTTAATCTCTTCTTCATATTGTACCTTCATTGTTATAATGCATACCAGCAAACCTTGATCAAATATCACAGGGAAGTCAGCTGGTGAGATTCAAATGAGTAATGGTTTAAGCAACTTTGAACAGGCATAAAGTGCTTAAGGTATTATTATACATATCTATTTTCTTCTACTATTTTTTTTTAATCTATTGAGCAACTTCAAGAATCAGGTTTGAAGCATAAATATTTATGAGAACAATGTTGGGGAATCCATCTTGGTTCAAAGGAGGGCCTAGGGTATGGGAAATTCTCTTCATATTTTTATAAGACTAAAACATAACTGGTAACGACCCTTTTAAAAGAATCAATATAAGTTAGAAACACATCTTCAAAAAAGAAGTGGATGAGAAAAAAGTCTAAGTCTTTGAGATTTTATAAAGTACTTGGTCTGTAAGAAAGACCCTGGGTCAATGTCTAAGAAAGCATCTTTGTATTAGTGCTCAGATATTCATGTAACAGAAAATCAGAAAAATAAAGACTAAAAGACAGAGTTTGGACACACACTGATAAACTGAAATATGTTATGTGACTGCCTTATTGTGTGCTCTGGGCTTTCAGGGGCACTGAAATAATAAATGCATGAAAAGATTATAGCATAGTTGGCTCCATGCTGATGTGCTATCACAGGGAAAATCAGACAGCAAAGGGAATATGCAAATCAACATAGCTCTACAACCATGACTATTCTCGCCTGCTATTGGATAATGTATTTCCTTCTCTAGAGAAAAAAAATATTGAATGAAATTCATTCCCCCAAATCTAGGAAGGCTGAGAATCTAGACAGATAAAAACAGATCCACATACATTTTGAAGATGAATACAGAAAGTTTTAGAAATATTAAAAGCAAAAGCAGTAATCTAAACTACTTTCCTCACTTGCTTTTGCTAGTGGTCTGTAATGCACTTCTCACAATTCCCCAGGATAGAAGGAGGTGTCAGTATCCATTCCCAGGGTTTTCTCACAAATATATGCCAAGGGAGGTATAACAAAGTCTCCTTTGGGTTAAAGTTATGAACATGAGGTTTCAAAACCAAGAACAAAATGTTTTAGGGGCTTAATTCAGTTTTGTCTCACCAAAAACAGAATATTTGAGGAAAGCAGAATTCTATAATTTGAAATTTTTTTAATAATTTAAGAAAAGTAGAGAGGCAATAACATTTTCATATATTAGTACAACTGAAAAGAAAAAAGGATGTGACTACATCCCAACATTAAAAAATACTATTGATAGTGTTTCTAATTACCAACAATGATGGCTATAGCTCACATGAATAAAGTAATTAAGGAGCAGCGTTTTTCTTACTTTGCTTAAGATTATCTGTAATACTACAATCAGGCTTGACTTGAGGTCTGAGAAACGAACATTATAAAATGACTTTTACCTCATAGAATTACAAGGTAGGCTTTAAAAATATTCGCAAGTGATAGGGAGTCCTAACGAAAAAATAATAGATTGTTTTAATTTGTAGCATAATGTATCACCACAGGAATCAAAGAAACTGAAAAAATATTTTTTGATGTATGTAGTGCCTATACACTGAATGACAAGTTACTGTGGAAACTTTAATTATGATATCTGATACTCAAAACAATGTTTATCTTATTCTAATTAATATAAAATAATATACTTTTATACAAAAATCTGATCTCCATAAGCAACGTCAGGTGAAAAATGGAATGAATGATCTGCAATGTCCAGGTAACTGAACAACTGGATTAACTAGAATTAGCGGATTAGTTGTCTAATGAATTTACTTTCTTTTCTATTTTGCAAATTGTAAAGTGATAAACTGATTGGCATTTAATCACAACATTTATTTCTTCACAGATACAATGCATTTATTTCATATACAATGTGTAGTCAGATAAACACATAATTTTCCTCTAGCTATAATGTAAACAGTGACATAAGAAATAAAATTATGTGTACTTCTTACGTCTTACAAAAGCATGTCTCTTTCATGAAGTCTTTCAGGGCAAAGTTAAATTTTTTTTTTCATTTTTGCATCTCTTTAGATACCATGGTACCAGCACATAGCAGACAAGCCCTCACAGAATTTTTTCTCTTGATTCAACATTTAGGAAATCAGAAATGTTGTCATATATCTGCTTCCAAAATATTCAGTTTGTTCAAAATACTACATCCAAGGATTATGGACAGCAAATGGACACAGATACAGATAAAGACAGAAATACATACAGTAGCCCCCTTATCTCTGGGGAACACATTGCATGGCCCCTGGTGGAGGCCCGAAACTGTGGATGGTACCAAACCCTATATATACTATATATTTCCTACACATACATATTTATGATCAACTTCAATTTATAAATTAGGCACAGTAAGAGATTAACAACAATAACTAATAATAAAATATTACAATTATAACAATATTGCAATAAAAGTTAAGTGAATACATTACTAAGTCGTGAGCTTTCACTTTTTCACTTCAAGGAATCACTTTATGGCTTCTCTTTGGCATAGCTAAATTGCCAGCATCACTCTACTCTTGCGCCTTGGGGCCATAATTAAGTAAAATAAGGGTTAGTTGAACAGAAGTGCAGTGTTACTGTGACAGTCCATCTGATAACGAAGGTGGCTACTAGGTGACTAGTAGGTATGTGGAGGGCCACAGTGTGGATACACTGGAGAAAGGGATGAGGCATATTCTGGATGGGAAGGTACAAGGTTTCATCACATCACTCAGAACAGTCAATAACTTGAATTATTTAATTCTGAAATTTTCTATTTAATATCTTCAGACCGCAGTTAACTGCGGGTAACTGAAACCACTGCAATCAAAACCATGGAGAAAGGGAGACTACTCTATAGAGATATCATAGCTAAAATTCTGATGGCAATTGATTAACTTAAATTTTGAGAACTGATTTTCAGGCACTTTGCATTTTAGCTACAGAGGGCAAATGGTGGATAAACCTCATTCTTGTTTTTTCTTTTTTTAGCTGAGCCATCCTGCCACCTGTGGGCAGCTCAGTGGCAACTCAGCTCGGGCCGGGCATCGAACTGCTGTTGCTCAGAGCTTGCACTCTTGTGCGACCTCTTAACCAACTGAGCCACTCGGCCGGCCCTATAAACCTCATTCCTAAAAAAGAAGTTCTTTGATTGATTCAGAAGTCCATGTATTTACAACAAGATTCTGAAATGCATGAGTAGGTAACTAATACTCAGCTCTCTATGGGATAATGGTTCATGAGCTGTATCAATTCTACATAGAAAAGAAAGGCTATGGGGCATTAGATGTGTATTTTAATGGAGATGTTAATACTAACAGGAGAATACATAAAAGGACTAAGAACCCAGAATTCTTGTATCTAAGTAATGTACAGTATTAAAAGCATGTTTTAATATGCCGAATCTTATTTTAATCAGCCAGTAGAGTTATCTCACTTCGCTCTCTTTATTTTCTACCCTATTAGAAGGATAGCTAACAGTTACTATTGGCACGTCAGTCTGCAATCTCTGCCTTTAATAGGATATCAATGGCATCTTCTCCATTCCAATTCACACACTGAACTCCAGCTCAAAGTCACAGTTTTCTACGCCCCTTAATTATCTATAATCATCTCTGACTTATCATCAAGCCTTTATCATCCTCAAAATCCATATTTATACCTGTCAGGTTTTCATGTAATGGGAAGGAGATTACAATGCTGAGTCAGTTCTCCAGACAGGCATATCAAGAACACTTTTTCAATCACTCACTAATTAGATGAGACAAATTTAGGCAATAGCATATAGAATTCTGTAAGAGCAGAAAGGCCACATCAGCAAGACACTTCACAGCCTTATGACAAATTGATTTAAGCCCAGCTGCAAAGTCACTCATGTTTGCCAAGAGAAGTTTTGAGTTATGAGTACTCTTTGGGACCCACCCATCACACAAACAATGATTTAGACAAAATGAAACAAAACAAAACAGTCTGACTCAATCCAACACTCCCAACTCCATCTTGCAGGAAGAAGGCTATGAAACGATCTGATGATTAGCTTAGGGATTTCCATGTTATTTTCATTTTAGGAGCCTCTGGATAGTAGTAAAAGTATCAAATAGGGTCTAAATAGACCTGAAAACATGGACCTGCTCTTACATCTGACAAAAATGCTTACCTTTCTGAATACACCATGAGGTACCATAGGGTTATTTTTAGTCATTTAAAAACTCCCCAAATCAATAGTAAAGAAAGAAAAGAAGTCAGTTTACTCCATACCCCACACCCTACTACCTCCTCCCATTTATTTGTATCAGATATTAAATAATCCATTGCTGTCCAAAAAGCACTCACCTCATTGTCCGACTCCACGAGAACTTGATCATATTCACTAAGCGCTACTAGAAACATGATAGAGGTGACATTTTCAAAGCAGTGTATCCATTTTCTTCTCTCTGACCTTTGGCCCCCTACATCGACCATTCTGCAAGGTTAACAATATTCATATTAATAGCATATAAAGAAAAAAATCAATATAAATATAGTTTTACTTACAAACTTAGGAAAAATATTCTCTAAAAAGAATGGTCATCCATGTCAATTCTATTAATACTTATTGAACATCTAATTTTCTGTTACATAACAATCAAAGTCAAGACCTTCTGGGTAATAAATCATTGTGGTTATTAGAAACTTACCAGATGTGTATGAAAACTATAATTTTGTAAAAAATATTTCCGTGCCAAGCCAAGCAAAATGTTTTTTTTATTTAATCATGTACCAAAGAGTCAGAAACAAAAAGAGTTTTCTTTCTGTTAACCTCTAATGGCAAATAGCGGCTTCAGTTTATTTTCCTATAAAATGAGAATGAAGCTCCTCGTATTTCTCAAGGAGGCTAGAAATGACCGCAGATACATTTAAAAGATGTCAGGTGCTATACATTTCAATATGGGTGTGTCAGATGCTTCAGCTAAATGCAAACACAACTCTACTGATCCTTTATCAGGAGGGTAAGCATTTTGGGCTGTTTTTCCTTCTAATATTTGCAATAATTTGGGACAGGTCCAGTTATATGGGATAACATAGTGCAGTTTGCCTTCTGCATAAACCAACTTGCTAACGTACCAGAAGTGAAGTGTATAAGGCATCAAGATGCTACAAGAGGCCATCATTTGAACCATTTCAAGAATTTGTTTTTAACATATCAGTTCTGTGCTGAATTACTGCTCAGGAACCAACTCTACCATCAATTAATTTGAATGATAATGTATCTATGAAAATACCTAGCAGTACTTAGCATTAAATCCAAGTTTCTTCAAACTATTGTTCCATATCTCGACAAAAATGTGTACAGTGTTCGTAAGATAAAATATTTTCAGAGATGAGAATTTGAGGTACAAAAGTTTAAGAGTATGGCCCTTTAAGCAGTTGAAAATTGCAGTTGTTCCTGGGGTTTTCCTGCCTCTAAGCGATCAACCTAAACTAAGAAATCAAGGTTCTTCCAGTAACTGCTTCTAAAAGTTTTCCCAGGCACAGAAAAGATGTCTGAGGGGCAAAACAATGGATCTGGGGAGACTTATCAACTATGGAAATCAAAACTAGAATTCTTAGGTCTTTAGAAATATTAAAATGCTAGCTCTTCCCTGATGCTGAGATAATAATATGCTACTTATTTAGAAGAAGACCTCATTCCATGAACTCCTGTCACACGAAGCTGTGCAACATGCTTCTGATGGCGGCAGGAAATTCTTTTTCAAAGTCATTACTTTTCTTGTAGTGGCAAAAAATGTCTTCTAAAAGCTACTGCCCACAATGTAGAAAAAACAAGATGTAATAGTTACCTGGTTCCAGAAGTCAGTAATTATAAAGCAGTAAGGAGATAAAAATCTCCATGAAATATGTTTTCTGAAAATATTCTGTAATATGGTTATAAGAGGAAGAAAATTTGGGAGTCTCAAATTAAAAATGTCTAAATGCTATGAACTCAAAAACTTAAGGAATCCGGAATGTCCGAGCCTATAGGGAACCTTGGTCATCACCTAATGCAACCATTTTATAAGATGTAAAAAAAAAAAATGGTGCTCAGAATTATTTCCAAAATCTCACCCATTCTAGGGGTATGTTTATTAGAATAGTGTATGGCAGCCAGATGTGACCAGCAGAGACTGATTAGAATAAAACACACAGTGCTCTGGCAGGGGCTGATGGGAGGCCTGGTCATCAGGGTCACGTGGCAGTTACATAACTGCTACTTCATAACTCCATATTGTATGTAGTTTTCTTCAATGGGATGGGCTTTCCCAAGGAACTCAACTCTCTATGCTCAGACATATTTACATGTCTTTACTTCTCAAAGGAGCCCCTGGTTTGTAGTCTAACTAAAAGTACAACTGAGTGATAGTATAGTAAGAAATTAAGTGAAACTACATCAGTATTGTTTAGATCTTTCTCATCTTAAAAAGACAAACAAACAAAAAAACTCTGCTGAAGTATTACCCAGACAAAATAGAAGCAGTGAAGGAGGAAGTAATACATTTTCATTATGTTTTCCTGTGTAAATTAGACTAGGTTAATCTATATTCAAAATCATGTATTTTAAAAATTGTCAAGCAACTTATTTTAGAAATACAAAACATCCTTTTTTTTCATTGCTACTGAAAACATTTTGCATTGGTACCAGAGGACTTGGAGGAAACATGACATGAAAGCTTCTGACAATATATAATTTCTATTATTAACAGGGTCATAAGATCATTCGCCTCATTTGCAAATCTAAATATATATATATTGTCCTCATAGTTAAAATGATTCCCAAAAAGTTACAGTAAGGACAATGTTTGAGTAAGTGATTTTTTTCAACTACCAGCAAACTTAAGATTTCATTGATTTCTTGGTGATTTAATCTGAAATGAGAAATCCGCCCATACATCTTTCCTCTGCTTCCTGTTTCAGGGACACATTATTTCATTTGTGTATCTAATGATAATGATTGGTATAAAGGTGATATTGTTTTAAAGCCTGCAAATAATTTCAATATTTACAGAGTGCACCAAAAGTACTCAAAGCGTAAGCGCTGGGAAGTGGGTTGTGTGGACTCAAATACTACCTGAAAATGACACTTTGTAAGTCAAAGGGGTATTCGATGATCCCTGTGGTGGGGACTCGAACTCTAAGCACATCTTGTTGCGTAGGCAGGTAGGCAGGGTCAGCCACGCGGTCCAAGTCATTAAGATAGCTAGAGGAGGGAAGACACAATGAGCATGTCAGTGACATCATCACACATCTGCCTATGGAGAGAAGGACAAAAATGAATCACGAGAGAGAAGGAGAGACAAGGAAAAAAGTATGTATCAAAAAGTGGTAGAGAAGTTTGGGAAGTCCAAAGATAAAGGCAACCTTCCATTGGTCAGAGCAAGGTTACCCATCTATGGATTACCTGGTTCACTGTATTTCTCATTTCTTCTCTTACTATTGATTAGAATCCATATAAGAGTAAAAGGGGAGAAGAAATAAAAGGAGTCTCCTACCCCCTACTTGTTTAGCAGGTCTGGTGGGTAAAACAGGAGTTTAAAGCAAACAGTTTTTGAATTATTTATACAAATCTAATTTGTATAAATAAACAGATAAGAGTTACACATAAGGTCAGAATGCATTTTTTTTTTCTCCATTTTGCAGAGCATCAGAGCTTCTTCCTGGAATACATCTCCTTATTCCCCTAAGAGTGGACGGCAGGATACCATATCCTAAATTCTGTGCAGTCTAAGTCATTCATGCTTAGCGAAAACATGAAATTTCCAGTTACTGAGTAGGTGACAATGTTTAAGGTCAGAAATTCCGTGTAGGTAGGCACCACACCTAAACTTTACATTTATCTGCTTATATGATACTTTTCTATTCCTTTGGAGAAAACAAAAACTATTTTTTATTTTGAAATAATTTTAGATTCCTAAGAAGTTGCAAAAATGTTAATGAGAATTCCCTTGTACCCTTCAATCAGCTTCCCCTAATGGTAACATCTTCTGTAACCATAGTACATTTATCAAACCAGGAAACTGACACTGATCCAATGCTATTAACTAAACTGCAGACCTCATTTAGATTTCACCAGTTTTTACACACACACACACACACACACACACACACACACACACACACACAATACTGGGGATATATACTCCTATGAAATTTTACCACATTAGATTTTTGTGACACCACTACCACAATCAGGATACAGAATTGTCTGTCACCACAAAGAAGTTGCACTGTGCTACCCATCCCAACCCTAAACCCTGGCAACACATATGTTACCATCAGTATAATTTTGTCATTTTAAAAATTTATATCCCATTCATTTTCATTCTCTCAAAGTGAAAAGAATAATTTGCGACTTTGAGAATGATATAATCTGATATAATAGATTATAAACAGGTGAAAATGACTGTTCTGCACGGCATCCTCATGATTTCAGAGTCACTATGCTCTCCTTGGCTCTGAAAAGGATGGAGCACAGATATGGTTTCAAAACACAACTATGAAGTGTAGACACAAAGTAATTAATATGTGAATAAGATTTAAAGAAAAAGCGGAACCATTAGTAGAACTGGAAGGGGTTAGACCTCAATACCTGTAGGCCCACAAAAGAGACAGTGAGTTCTGAGCTATATAACGGACTGTGTGGAGCAGAGCATGTTACAACTAAGAAGGCACAAACACTCCATGCACATGACCTATCTAAGGTAAGAACTTTGTCTCACCCATCATTATTCCTGCCTTAGTACCTAAAAGAGTGCCTGGCAAATAATACTTCAAGAATATTTGCTGGTTGGATGGATGGATGGGTTTCCTATGTTGAGATTTAGTTGTAGAAGCATTTAATTATTTAAATATTCTTACTAGTGGTGTTTCCATATTAATGATATTATTAAATTTGAAACTGGGTGCTGAAAAGAAATGTTACATTAAGACTCTAAGATTCATGGGATCATAAAATAGTAGAGCTAAGTCTGAATTTTACAAAGAAATAAAATTACTGTCTTTTTAGAGGTGTATCAATCCTTTAAGACAAAAATGTATCAGCCTGAAAATTCCTACTGCAAAGTCACTAATTAGTATACCAGTGGCCTTATCCCAAACACATCAATAGTTCTTAAGTTGGCAATTAGCTCTCTACTGACTGAAAGGAACCAGCCTGATACCTTTAATTTTTATAAAACTGGCTAGAGGATAAAAACAGGGAGACACTGAGAGAATACGGGCATGAGAGGCAGGAAGAAAACATAAAAATGAAATGGACCCATAATTTTAGTCAATATCTTGGCATGGTCTTGGAGTTGTCTGATGGGGTTAACAAGCCCATGTTCTAGGAGTTGATCTGTATCTCATTCTACAGAGAAAGGAGATCATCACACCACACATACAAAACCAATGGGCTACTCTATACTCTATGTAGATGGATTTTTCTTATTTATCAGATCCTTGATTGAAAACTTGAAAGGAACGTACATTTTGAAACCTACAAGATCACCAATTATTTAACTACTACATACAAGAATTTAATTCACATCAGAGAACTTCCAATTTACACTGGCAAGCTGGCTCAGAAATACACTGCCCAATAAACCATTTCTACTCCCTTAACCCAGCACACAGAGCTGAGAACAGAGGGTGGCTAATTCTTGTACACAGGTGCTGTCGTGCTCCTGTGGTGAAGAAAAATTGTAGCTTTCTGTTTCTCAGAGATGAACTAAACAGGCTACTCGTTGCCACTCCAGTTTAAACAAGTATTTCCACAGGCGAGTTTAAAGAACCAGCACATGAAGTGGGAAATTACCTGTCATATTGCACGGTAGAAACCTGGCTAGTCTCTCTCCAATTTAGAAGAATGAACTAAGCTTCCTGATAAACGTGCTTGAGTAAGACAGAAACAAGGTACACACCTATGATTGAAAAGCCACTTACCAGGGTGTGGAGGCTGCCCTAAGAATACTGTCAGTGGTGTCCTTCTGTGAACCTGGGGCATTACTGAGATATTGGCTGAATACCTAAAACATTTGTTCTCGCAAGAGTCTTTTTTTCCACTTCACCTTCTTTAGCTCCTTTTCAATGTCAGCATAGTTCACAGAGTAAGAAGGGTAGCATAACAACAGTGAACCTCTACTGAGTGCTTGCTGCTTGCCTGGCACTGCTCTGTCTGTTCTTGCCCAGGTATCAACATATTTCACGGCAAGTAAATGGCCATGGAGATGTCCCATACATTTCCAATTAACTTGAAAACGAACAGCAGTTCTTGCTTGACATTCATTTTGCTTTGCCTCAGTTGGGTGGTGGAGGGAAAGGCCCATTTTACTTGGAGTAAAGCAGTTAAATTAAAAAAACCCAAAAACTGAAAGGAACTATATCAAGGTCTGCTAGTTACATTATCTAGAACCAAAACCAAGCCAAATCCAAACACCCCCAAAGCAAGGTAAGAAAAACAAAACAACAACAAACCCTCCAAATAAACAAAAGATACAAACTCTTTCCTCCTAGAGGAAGGTCTGAGTGGCTCACAAGCTACACTGGGATAATTTGTGAAGCAGGTTAAACTTTCAGGCAACCAAGACCAGCATTTTTCACTGCCAAGGAGAGGCCAGTGTGGAGAGCTTCCGCCTGTGTAAGTCCCAACCCCATGAACCCCCCATACCCCCCTCACCCAAAACACACTGGGCCTATAGGACATGGAGGGACTCCTAGCACTTTCTGCATTTCACATTTGCTTAGGGGAAAAAGCCACTCTATTCCCTTAGAAATGGAGTTTTGGCAGTAAGACTAGAGCATCCTCATTTGTTGATTCATATCACATTCTGAGAAAAGTTAATGGAATAATCTCTTAACTGAATGTACTTTCCAATGAAGCATCTCATATTCTGAAGGCAAATGTTGGTGGAATATGAGGGGGGAGGGGGAATGGATTCATATTGGATTATTCCATTCATTTAACCTTTTACGAAGAAACACCAAGGTCTGAACAAATTTATATTACAGAGTAAATTCAGAGAGTTAATTATAGCTATAATTTGCTTTGTAGAAATGATTTTGAGTGGCTGCTGAGGTCATTCTCAGGGTGTTGCTATGGTGACAGGCACAAGGTACACTTCCAAGGCAATGTATGTTTAACAAGTGGCTGGCAGTAGCTCTCTCTTAATGCCAGGGACAGAAAGCTTCCATGGTATACATGAGGTTTATTTAACTGTCTAGGATACAAGATGCGGTTAGGACAGTGCTAGAAAGTAGGTGTTAGTTGCTTAAACTCACCTTATTCCAACTCATTCATGGTGATTTAACGACTTGCCGATGCTTTGAGACACTGATAATGGGTAACTTCGTAATTGATTTACAAAAAACAAACCTCAACAATCTCCCACATGTTTGCCCACTTAGGGCTCTCACAGTCTGTGGAGTCAGGGGCCATGACTACTTTTGTCGCCAACACTTAGCCGAGGGCCTGGAACACTGCAGTTGCTCAACATGTGACCCTAATTAAAACTATAAAATGAAAAATGTTGTAGTGGTCAGAAAGGTGGGTTATGCCTTTTAGGAGAAAACACAGGAGGAGGGGGGTTGTTAGATACCCATCTTTATGTAATAACCTTTCTGGGCTATTATTGGCCTGTATTATGTCAGTACTAAATTCTGAATTAAAATGCCTGTAACGAATGTAAAAACAACACAGAAAGGAAAAGCAGTATTTGTTTATTAACTTCATTTAGATGTGCTTCCTGCGTTGTTTTCAGTCCTGGCCACAAAATGATATAATTTGCATATCCATTTTATGCTTATAAAGCTTTCTGGCCTTGGAATTCACTCTAATTCAGCAGAACAGGGGGAGTGAGTGGTACCTTATTAACAGACAATTCTCACACAATCTCTTTAATGAAAGAAACAGGTTTCTGATCGTTTTCAGTGAAAAGCAAAGCAACAAAGAGACTCCTGTAGTAAAATTTCAACAGTTCCTTTCCTACCATAAGAAAAACACAGGGTCATCTGGAATTCAACATTTTGACCATGACATTCTGGTAGGTGCTAAGGATATGAAGATTCCCAGGATAAGATCTCTGCCTGCAAGTTTACCAACTAGTGGGAAGAAAATGAAGAGGAGAAACAGTGGGGTTTAATAAGGATGGGATGAGCATTTGTATATTTTGAACAGCGTCATTTTCTGGGAACCTGTTTGAACTGTCTCTAATCCTTGGTGAT